AAAAAAAAAAAAACTTATGATTGACGTTTAGTGTCTTATTTCTATTATTTCTTTTTTCTATAAGTCTTTAGTCTCGCATTCACTGTGCGTCTAAATATTCTGATATCTGTGAAGTCTGAACAACATTTATGATCTCAAATCTTTAAAGTCTGAAATATCTTTATTGTCTGATAAAGTCTTTTTATTTCTACAATTTCTGATTTTTCTCCTTGTTGGATTGTTGACACACGAGTTCGCAAATGTTCCACCTCAATCGACCTGAAATGAAGATGGTTGTCAATTACAACATTAGGAAAATACTAACGAATGATTTTGTAAATCATCAATGATAATATTTTCTAATTACCTCTTGTTTCGTATTTTTTATCTCCTCAAGATAATCCTTCCTTCGCGTAAATTCCTCGTGCCTCGTGCCTCAGTGATGTTGAATTCGTTATGATGAAAATCTGCAAATTTATCATCAGTGAGTGAATTTACCAATTTGTGAGATTACATTCACAGTAAATGTGTAATAATCATTCAATTATGGAGGACACATACAATACGCAAGCACATGTGGATATTCTGTAATCAAAGAATTCTCAAACACAGTCGAGTCGTAACTCTCAATTTAATTTTAGAATGACAATGTCATCCTAAAGTTGCGAGAATGAAGAAACATTTGGAAAGATTGTTATTTCATTATGATGGAAAGTCGTGTCGGTTAGTTGTAATATAACGTATCAGAATCTAACATTATTCAATGAAAAGTTATACGTCTGTTGTTTTCAAAAATTATTCGTATGAATATTATCGACGTTTGCTTTATATTTTTTGTTCTACCTACCTCAATTCGATCAATGCAGAATCGTGCAGCTTAAATAATGCCAGACCAGCAACTTGCCGATGTATCGCTGTTTGGAGGTTAATGATGAGTTCAGCATCTTGAATAGCGCCAGGATTTCGTACTTCTTCGCCAACGTTCGGTAAATCATGGCGGGCACTTCGAAAATTTTGAACAGTTTTGTACACAATGATCACTACTCGACCATTTATGTTCACAAAATTAGTAGAATGTGAAGTCCCGGGTACCAGGCTGGTTTATAATAACATCGAAACACAAACGATACAACGGTACATCATGTTGTACCTTTTATTAACTCCCTAATCTGTTGCGTAGGTATTGAAATGATTCCGAAATTCAATAGTCGAATTTTCATGATTTCACTTTTCTTCAAGTTGGATCATTTGAAACATTTTTAGAAGACATGACGATTACTCTTTCACAAATGATGCAATTGGATTTTTGTTATAATCCGTGCGTATTTATGTAACTGAGAACTGAGTAGTTTGTAAAAACGATTGTCTCAGCGGTTTTTCAGTCATTCTTCAAAAATATGTGAAAAAACGTCGGAAATTCAGTTTTTTTTTGTCAAATTTGATTATTTTTAGTTTTGCTGTAGTGCCAAAATCTAGGTAAATTGTTCAAAATACAAATAAAGAGGTGGTTTAGAAAAAATGATTTCTGAAGTTCTTCTATCTTTTGTCATTGTTTATTTAATCAATTACGAATTTGCCATGCACATTTCTGGTCTAATAAAACTTTTCGGAAATCCACCAGAAGTCGCCATTTTTCGTTGTGCATGCGCACTTTTTATTCGTCAGAATCAGAAAATTTGTTCGCTTTCATGAAAATCACTTTCTCGTTTCCATTACACTGTGGTATTCACACCAAATTAACGTCTCAGCATGAATTTCATTTAAATAGTTAATTTACTGTTCTTCATTGAATAACGTAAATAGAAATCATGGAAAAAAGAAACAAAATTTTCCAATAGAATTCGAACAGAATTCCAACAGAATTCCAGCAGAAATCTCAACTGAAATTTTCATTATATTTTTTGCCTTGAAAATTGTAAACGGAGATTTGTTTAATTGTTAAATGGGAACAAAGTGATCGCAGCGAAAGCAATTCCTCCTGAATGTGCAGAGAAAACTCCACGTCGTCCTTTCTCAGGATCTCCAATCTCAAGAATTTATGCTCAAATTAATACTTTCGAATTCAGAACGCATCTTTGCATTTTTTCCCTTTCAAAAAAAAATTTAAAAAATAGTTAACATATTTAGATATGATCCACATGTGTAAAATTTTTATTTGAAAAAACAGCTCTATTATTTTGTTGAAAACAATTTGATAAAATATGCATACATCACGAAAAATCACGTATGAGAAAATCCTATAGAATTTTCTATAGAATATTCTATAGGATTTTCTATAGGAAATGCTATGGAGAATTCCAACATTTCCTTTAGGATCTCCTATAGAATTCCCTATAGAATATTCCATAGGACATACTATTGGGTTTTTCCATACGTGATGATGCATTATTTCATTTTTTTTAAATAATATAATTGAAGATTTCTCGATGAAAGTTAGTGTTTGACAAAAAAAACACAATTGACAAATTTACAATGCCAAAGATACAGATTTTTAATGTCAATCAACAGAACATTTTACAGAACATTTTTATTTTAAGAATAAAGCCAATTGAACCTACTGTCATTTCCATTTTTCTGTGAAAAATTTAGCATCTCTGTGTTACAAAAGAAATGTCGTACAATATTCCTTACTGATTAACTTTTTCAGTTCACAATGACAACTTTCTCAATCTCTTATCATTATAAAAAATGCGAATGGTACTTATCAGTCATGTATCATAAACTTATATATATAATACTTATGTTGAATTTAATGAAAAAAAAATGTATTACTGAAATTCTTGTTCAACGAATGGTTTGCCAATTTCAATTTAAAAAAACTTCTCTTTCACAAAGGATAAACGAAACTTTTCCTTTCCGATAACAGAACACTATAATTCCCATCCTTACAATATTTGAAAACTGTTTCGTCAGTCTTCCTTTATTTTTTAGCTGTAATTAATACATTTTCCTTAAACAAACTTATCAATTATTAGCAACGTTTTAGTAGTAACTATCAGTCTCAGTAAGACATTTGATATTTTTAAACTTTCGTAATAATCCTCCTTTGGCTCATCATTGGAACAGTATATTTCCCATTTTAATGGAATTTCAGAATTGTACTTACTCCTCAGCAATAACTTGTTCCTGTTTTTTCTTTGTGGAGATGGTTAACAGAGATTTTTGGTAATTATTAAATGAAAATAAGTAAACGCAGCGGAAGCAATTTCTCCCAAATGCGTAGTGAAGACTCCACACTGTCTTTCTCTATTCCCTTTTCCAAAAACTTATGCTCAAATTAATATCCTCTAACTTGAAACTTACTCTTCCTTGCATTTCTTCGTAATAAAAAAAAACGTAGACTTAACATAGTTATCCCAATAATCACATGTGGTATATCAATACTGTGAGTGGCAACTACTATCACGTAGTTGAAGACTATCTTCTAAATAATCGCCTGACCATGACCACAATGAGCTTTAGATCCTCAAAAAGGAGACTTTTTTGTTGGAGAAAATACAAATTACCACAAGTTCGTGGTTTCTGTTGTTTGATGGGTACCATAACCCATAACGCTCCACGATAACACGTATGATGAAAAAATATATTTAAAAAACTCATGCATTTGTTAAATTTCTCTCCGATTTCCATTCAAAACTCTATCAGATTTCCATCGATTCTGTTGATTTAAATTTGAATTCTGTGTAATTTTTCCGATAATGATGCTCAATTCAAGATATGATACAGAAAAAATGTCAGTTGGATTCAATTTGTTTATATAACTCGTTACATTTGAATGTTATTATTCTAGAGATTTTTCAAATGAGATTTTCCAAAAATTTTCAGTTAGTCGTTACAGTTGTAGGAAAAAATGGATTAAAAAAGAATAAATAAATTTATGTGTAAAATTCGGATGAAGAAGCCAATGTTATTATTTGTTGACATATAATTCATGGAATGAATTGTGTTGTTGATTGAATTATTCGTCGATTTAAAAAAAAAAAGTTCTGATTTAAATTTACAATTGGAAAAATAGCAAATACCCCAAAAAATTTTGCAAGTTTTTAATAGAATCCGGGAGAAACTAATAGAATTCGAAGGGAAATGGAATAAACTATTTTTTCAATAAAAAAACGAAAAACTCGATAAATCACTCTCAAAGTGATTTTAAAAAAACAGTGTCAATGAAATGAAGCCTCAAACACCTCTACCATCCTCCGCTGGGGTCCTCTCAGTCACCACCTCCGCCTGATTCTCACTTGTTGAAGCCTGAACCTCATCAGGGTCAAGTCGACGTCTCTGAATCTGCCTGTTCGAGTTAGTCTCCTCAACTGTTGCTGCGTCTGGTACCTCAAGTGGCCTGCGCTCTGCAGGGACATTGGGAATGGGATTAATATCAGGTGCAGGCCCGACTCTACCTGCCAGTCTGTAACCAGCTCTCATCTGGTCCTCTGTGAGTACAGTGTCATCAACGAGTGTGATCTGATCCATATTGGCCACTTGAAGAACGACGGCTTGATTACCGTTTCTTCTGATAACTCCGTTCACTGTCACATGAGAACCAAGTGGTGGACTTGTGTTCACCTCGAAGGAAGTGACATAAACCGAGATGCGGAAGCGCTGGGCATCTGTCAAGATCCCATTGCCATATGTAGCATTATTGGTGATGACCCTCTCGATTGGCAGTTTGATGAATCCAGTGAGGCTCACAGTACCAGTGGCCTGGCCGACTTCATTGAATGTAATGGGGGTGTAATTAAGAGGCCTTGGGACCTCCTCTGGCATTGGTCCCAGAATGCTGACAGTTGTTTGAGGCTGCACGAATAATTCGATAGGCAGTAAATTGTCCTCAGCTATCCTGTACAACGGATTTGATTCCTGAGCTCGTGCCCTTATGATCCTTACGAACTGTAATTATAACGGAATTGATCAAATTTCAAGGATTTCCATTCCACAATTAGAATGAATGATTATAATTACTGAGAAAAGATTTTTCTAGCGAGAAATTGATTCAAGAGTAAAGCTTCAACAATCAATGACTAAATTGTTACAAATATGGTATGGCCATGTATAAAAATGTATCTCAAAGCGAAACTGCTTGTTCAAATCATTTGACGGGTCATGTGTGGAGGGAGGGATGATATCAAAGGACTTACATGACGAATCAATCTTCCTTGAAATTCAGGAATTCTTCGACCCCAAATTAGAAATCTGAGTGAACGTCCACTTAGATTGGACATTATGCATCTGTATGGCTGATTAACATTGCGGGCAGTTTCGGCTCTCTGCCTGAATTGATCCTCACGGATGATGGCTGCAGTCACATCACTGAAATGGTAATTAAAAAGGGTTAGGAGTTTTTCTAATTGACCAATTAGTGAAAACTTCGTTGTTTTGAAGAATGTTTATTAACTTTTGTGAACATGTCTATTCTGAGCCCACGCGGCTTCTTAAAAATCTAACCTACAACAATACCAATTCACTCAATAATACGAATTCAATAGAAAAATATAGGAAAATAACTTACACCATGTTATCACCGATCTCGATCTCATCGAATTCTTCATTCGATGTCAATATAGGTGGATTTCCTTCCGCAGCCATCGCCAATAATCTTTATCATCAAATTCACTTCACGTTCCTTTGCTGAGCGTCAAAGCGGAAAGGCCGACATTTCATTCAGAAAAAATGGCTACACATCCTCCTTATTTCCCGCTTGAATTTAAACTCTATCGAAATCTTCTAATACACGTACGAAAATTTTCAATAGGAAACCCTAAAGAATTCTATAGGAATTTCTGTAGAACTTCTATTGGATTTTCTATACGTTTTTTGCCGTTTCTATTGACATGTTCGATAGGGAATATAATATAGAAAAATGTCAATAGAAAAGAAAAAGTCGATGGAATTTCATTTTTCTATAGAATTTTTTCGACGCAAATTTTCTCAGTTTTTATTAGTCATTTTCTATTTTCTTCTCTTCAAAAAAATCGAATGAAAAAACTTAGAAAATTGGAGCCGAAAAAATTTTATAGACAACAAAATTCTATAAACTGTTTCTATAGAATTCCCTATCGAACACGCCAAAAGAAACGGGAAAAAACGTATAGAAAATTCAATAGAAGTCTTATAGAATGTCTATCGAAATACCTATAGAATTCTTTAGGGTTTTCTATTAAAAATTTTCGTACGTGTAATCAATCTCACAATGACTATCTCTCAAATATCTCACAATGACTATTATATTCTTTGTCGAATAATGAATGAATTGATCGTGGAACAAAATGATATTTGTTCGATTCTCCATATCCCAAATATGACATAAAAGTCATATTGAATATTTGAATTCAATCAAAAAAATTCTATTCAAAAAAACACATCAATTTTTTTTTGTGAACAATTTGGCAAAATGAACATAAATCATGAAGAAAGATTGATTATTAAAATAAAAAAATAATAATAACGGAAGTTATCTCGATGATGGCTAGTGTTTAAAGAGACAATTGACAAATTTACAATTACGAAGGAACCGATTTTTATTGTTGATCAACTTTACAGAACATTTCTAATCGACGATTAGTAATCGTAAACATAGTGTTTTTTTTTCATTCAAAATACACAATATTTTATGGGAAATACATACGGTTATTTCCATTTTCCTCTGAAAATTTACCTTCTCTGCGTTAGAAAAGAAGTGTCTGCAATCTTCCTTACTAATGAGCTTTTTCAGTTCACGGTATCAATTTTTTTTTCATTCATTATCATTATGAAAAATACGACTGATACTTGACAGTCCTATGTCACAAATATGTATAAACTTGTCTTAAATTTATTTAAAAAAAAATTATGTACACGTATGAAAATTTTTAATTGAAAATCCTAAAGAATTCTATAGGAATTTCTATAGATCTATTGGTTTTTCTATTCTGCACGTTTTTTGCCGTTTCTGTTGACATGTTCGATAGGGAATATTATACAGAAAAATGTCAATAGAAAAAAAGTCAACAGAATTTAATTTTTCTATAAAATTTTCTTGACTTAAATTTTCTAAGTTTTTTAAAGCCATTTTTTATTTTTTTTCTTTTCAAAAAAATCGAATGAAAAAATTTAGAAAATTTGAGCCGAAAAAATTCTATAGATAACGAAATTCTATAAACTTTTTCTATGGAATTTCCTATCGAACACATCAAAAGAAACGGCAAAAAACGTATAGAAAATTCAACAGAAGTCTTATAGAAAGTCTATGGAAATTACGATAGAATTCTTTAGGGTTTTTCTATTTAAAATTGTCGTACGTGTATTGCTGAAATTCTCCTTGAACAAATTATTTTTCAACATTATAAACAAAACATATGTTATAACCGACTTCACAAATTCTGATAAACAAAGCCTAACACAGAATTCTGAAAGATTCTATCTGTTGTTATGCTTTTTGAATTGAAGATCTCCAATAGAACTGAAATGAATAGTTTTCTCTGTGAAAGTGCTAAATTATGGATTGAAAAAAAAATCCCTGATTTTATATCGGAAAAAATCACAAAAGACAGCAGAAAAGATTCATAAAAGTTCCAAACAATATTTCTGTAAAAAGTAGAGCTATTGACTTCTCTAATACATATCTTCAAAAGAAATGCCACAACAAAAAATTGCAGTTTTCCGATAAAATTTGGATAGAATTCTTCGAGACTTCCAAAAAATATTTAACGGAATTCTTTCCAGAAAGTGCTAGGCTTTCTATTAATTTTTTTCCTATGCGGAAGCCCTCATAATCATCTTCATCTTACAAATAGAAGGCCAATTGAACATGCAGTTGTTGAAAGTAGTAATCTTCAACTTCTAATACAAATAGTAATACAAATAGCATTTACCTTGGTTACATAATAAATATTTGTACTAAAAAATCTCGTGTCACGAACTTGGTTGAACCCGTTATAAATTTTAATTAAATTTACTCTTTACTGAAAATGCCATTTCTTTATCTTTTTTTCTATCTAATGATACTATTCCACCATTATTTTTAAACTATTTCTGAGACTTCTTTTTTCGTTCCCTGAAGACATTCTTAGTAATATCATGTTCTAAATATAAAAATTCAGTCCGTAAAGAAAAAAATTCAATAGCTTCACGCGTACAAAAAAAA